CTTATCATTTCAACTTGGTGTCTCTATTGCAATTCAGAACTGGCATTGAAATGTTACCAACAAACTTTAAACTAAGCTCAGAGCTAAAAATAAAATAAAAATCTGTCACGTAACTTACTGAATTGTACATTTTCTACACTATCAATCATGTATTTTGAACACTTAAAATAATCATGATTTTCACAACTAAGTTGGGTCAATAATATTCACTTATTAAAAACATTATGATAAAAACAAATTATTGTGATTGCATTTCCAGCTAGATGGGAGAATACATCAATTTTTAATTACGATACTCTACCATAGTTGACAGAGAATCTTAAATCCTACCAATTCTGTATTGCTTCTTTGATAAGAAATAATATAGTAACTTCCCATTGAGTTGTAGAAGCATACTGGGTACTATGTCAAAATATGCTTAATGGCACATAACCCTCTTCTTTGTTCACCTTCCCACATCACTTCTTCAAAACCATTATAAAAGAAGAAACAAATGGATCATCAATATTCACATTTAACTCTTCAATCTGAAACTCGTTAACAATTATTTTTTATAGGCCTACTTATTGATGTATTGATTGAAAATATTGATAAATTGTTTTATTGGAAAACCAGGAATTGGTTTTCCAATAAATCAATTTATCAATATTTTTACAACAACACATTTGGAAGCTCGTGTTCCAGCCACATTCTTTTAACAGTGAATACAAATCTTTGTAATCACTTAATTGAAAGAAATTTCATTAATATTTGGACAAAATATTTTACAATCTCAGCTAAGAGTGCGGTCAGCCGTGTGAACCCTTCGAAAGATACTGATACTCCCTGAAAGATGGTCATTCCAAGTAGACAAGGAAGAGGTGGTATTTTAAATATATAAGTTTGAATTAACACAGCCCTATTTACTTGAGAAGATGACTTCCAGTGCCCGCAGTTCAATACCTTGTGTATTAAAAAATCACTTGTAACATCCAAGAAAGAACTTTGGTTTCATTTAATGACCATCCTAAACTTATTTCAATGGCGCAATAAATTGAATCAACATGGACTTGTGATCAACTTCTTGGAATGAAATCATTCTGTAATTTGCATTTCATTCAAGCTTGACAGACATTCTCCACACCTACCAACTACAGGAGGGTAAGAGAATACAAAACTAGTAATTGAAATTATGTGAATTAATTTTTAGAACATTAATTTTGAATACATATTTATTATTAATTATTTTTACCTCTCCTTCAATAAAATTTTTCCGACTATTTTTTAAACTCTCAATTTCCAGGTACACAATAGTCCTGTACTACACATTCTTGGTAACAATTATGGTAATTTACTAGAAATTCACACTATTTTGACCCTTTTTGCATGGTGGGCTTACAATGGGGAAAGAAAACTTGAATCATTTAACATACCACTGCAAATTGGTAGATTGGATACATCTGTTAATCAAGATTACTGAAAATAAAGCCCAGATTTATGGTACTGTGCATAAAATCTGGTGTGTGTCTGTGGTGAAAGACAAGAGTAAATAGCCTACTACAAATGAACAGTGGAAAAAAAAGGAAGATAATAGTGCCTTTTATCAATGAGTGGTGAAAAACTTTTGAGCAACACTTTAGACTCAAATTTTTCATCAAACAAATTCAATAAATTACTCAATAATTTTTTTTAAAGTCAGAAATGAATGAAATAATATGTAATTATTAATCTCATGGATGCTGACAAATTTTTATACAAAATTAGAAAATAGCATGACAAGCCTTTTCTTTTAGTTATTGCATAAGACACAAAAATTCAAAACATCCTTTTATTTGCCTTTCTCATGGTATCTACCATTCTGCATCAGTGTCCCAAGTTCTTCTGCTAATGAATCCAACAATATCATTTGTTACTATGAATCAGATGTAGGAAATAGTTTAAAGAAAATTAAAAGTTTAAACTATGCTTTGAGAAATTCTAACGAGTTTCCCGAATTTTATATTGTTGATCCTTATAATATGTATACACACCCAATAAAACTTCAGACCATTCACTCTGAATACTTTGGTAAGTTCTTCTGCACTAAATCAGACTCCTTTTAATTCAAATACCACGAGGAAATTTATGATCTAATTATAAAGGTAATAATTTTCACAATATTTCACAAATCACATGAGAATTAATATATATTTGAAACATTTGATTGTCTAGATACTTCAACAAAGAAACATTTTAGACAGAAAATAGATATTGGTTAAATTTACCCATAAAAATATACATAAAAACTGCAATAACGTTTTTGTGGAAGCCTAAGAGGCACAAAAAACTACTTTAACATAGAACTCTGTTCATTCCAAAATAATACATTTCTTAAAAACAAAAATCTATATGAACATGCTGTCACTGTTTCTGCTTGAATGACCAACCAAATCTAATACTAGAGGAAACAAAACAAGAAAAATGTCTCCCTGTAAACTAAATTTAGAATGTTGAATAACTGACCTTCATCGCATTGGCAAGCTTGTAAAATATACGTAATAAAAGCAAGTAAATATTAAATAAAGTTTTCCTACAACTTTCTGCACATCAAAATATTTTACTATTATAATTTTCTCTATTTAAGCAACACATTTAATGAGATAGCAGTTGTAAATGATACCAGTTAGTCATTATGGAGTCTGAAATTTCAGCTATTACTAAAAAGAAAAGGTTTCTCTTTATCTAGAAATGCATTACTGGGAGTTTATGATTTACATATTTTGTAGGAAAATAATATGTATCGTTCATTTCTGGCATAAAAATAAAAACAATGTATTAAGTTTGCTATCTCTGAGATTTAAATACATTGCAAAACAATTAAGTATAAGTCTTCCAATACAACAGTGGGAATGTAATATGATTCAAGGAGAATTCAGCTTTTCTTAGCAGAACTATTATCACAATTCTGGCAAAATTGGCACATTGTTTTTAGACATATTGAATTAACTAACAGAATTTAAAAAGAGCAAGGAATTGAAATCTATTAGAATATGAAAACTCAGTAATTATAAGAATAGTATTTAATCCACGGACTTTTGTGAGTTGCCTATGGGCAACATAGGATGATCGACTTAACCCTTCAACAGAGGGCCAAGGTCTGACGCAGTAGCATCCAATGTGGGCGACAGAAAGGGGTTATGTACATTAGCACGTCAGAAAGTCGCCAGCAAGAGCACTGCCAAGGCAACCCTCCCATCTCTATATGCCACTCTGTCACATAGAGGAAAATCTTAGATGGTTCTGTAAGAATGGCTGTCCATGATTAGAGATGGCATCGAAATGCCTTTTGAAGATTGCATTCTATGTTGTAGTAAATTAGTTGTCTTAATCCTCCCTCCTTTTAGTCAATTTTCATTATTGTTGGTAAACAATACACTTGTCTTTTGCTTTCACAGATATTATAGTACTCATAAAAGTGAAGAATTTTTCTCACAATTCAGAAAATTGAAATGCAAGATGTAAAAAATGAACAATCTGTGATTATAATTATATTACGCATTAATTACCACCAATTTAAGTTTGAATGTGATTAACACAGAATTTTGTTAATATAAGAGATAGTCTAAAATCATACTTTTCAAAAAAGTTCAAAAAGCAATGTCATTTTAAATTATTTGTAATTTTCACAAATTTCAAATATAAACAAAAAAAGGAAGCCGAGACTGTTGTACCAACATGCTTTTTTAAGTTTTCCGATGATCTTCGTAATGAATAATTTACAACTCAACAATAACTAAGCAAATAAATACTTAATTAGCTATTAAAGCACAAAACAAATATCTTACACACAACGTGAGCATCAGTTTGACTGCATATAAGTTAAAAAAATGAGTGACACCAACTGATTTATAGCAAAAGAAGAAGTGTGACATTTGATGTGTTGGAAAAAGTTATGTAGTCCAGTTTTTCTTGCAGCTGACCACATACAAACACAATACCAAGGTATTCTTAAATAACATCACTAGATAACTTGAAATGGTCATAATGCAGAGCTTTTTCACGTAATGAAGTTTAGAGAATTACACCAATTAAAAAAAAAAAAAAAAAAAAAAAACAGAAAGTAAATTCTGAAATTATAAAGAACATGCAAGAACAACAAATTACTTTACGAAAAAATCTTTTAATAAACATTAAGGAATAATGGGATTTGACAAAATATTACTATTCACAAGTATGAAATAAATCATTAGGAAATTTCTGACAGTCTAATTCATTATTTCTCAATGGAATTGTAAAACATAAAAAAACTAAAAGATCTGCACACAATAATCATCAAGTTATATAATGATCCATAATGATGCTGTCACAGCCAAACACTATAAAAAGTAAGATTACCTTGATATCAACTATCTCGATAAGGACTGTTGCGAATCTGAAATTTTTGAAATTCTCAATTATTCAGCACTGAAATTACAATTTTCCACAGAAAATTTTAGGCCTTGTCTTCAGCATAACTGTCATTTCTCATACAAGACACAAACTAGAAACACATTATATTTAACTTCAGTTAATTTCACCAAAAATTATACGAAGTTTTGAATCAAGCTTACAGTTTGAAATATGCAAGTTTCATTCATATTACATGAAATTAGCTATGAATCAAATCCCAGGGAAATGAAAAAGGCACATTTTTTTATTTTTAGACTAATTTGTGCATGGAATTTGAAATTGTGATCAAGACAAACTACAGAAATTGTTAGTTATGAAGTGGAAAATTGTATTAATAATTATTATTTTTATTATCACGTAAATAAATCTGTGGCTTAGAGGTATACATACTATGTCTCAGTTACTAAATTTCACAGGAGAACAATTTGAAGATATTTTATTTTGGACTTGGTGATATTTAAAAGCACTGTAACTCTTGAAATCAATTCTTGATGTAGGGCAGTGTTGTATACCTCTCAGTACTTATTGTGTTATATTGTATTGTTGTATACCTCTCGGGTCTTATACCTCCAACTCGCAGAAAATTTCCATGTGTTTTAGTAAAATTCTCTGCCTTTTACTAAGTCTGTAATATTCTCTTACTTATCCAGGTGCGCAACAGCCCTGAGATTTATTCTTCAAAGAGTATTGCTATTATGATTGAATGAACATGAATGTATGGAAATTAGGGTGTCAATGGTACTTTCGAAGGAATACTTAAGTTTTTGCTCTTTCTTCCTCTTGCTTCACATCTCTCTTACTAACAGATTTACCATCATAGACGTAAAACCGCCATGGTTTCAGGCCCCACTCACGGCCAGCTGACTCTATTCCAATTCTCGTACTGACTACAATGTTCTCTGGATTAAATTCTTCACTTTTCTCATCGGTTTCAATCCAAAGTCCATCCCAGGATGTCAAATCTTGCTCAGTACATGTCTTATCAATGCTGAAACTAATACACATTTTAGATGGGCCATTACAGAGATCATTTTCCTTGAAAGTTTGAAATTTTGTGGATTTTCTCTTCTGTAATCGCTGCATGTTCATGTACTCCAGCCCTTCAATGGGATCAGCAGCTCTGAGCAAAACTGCAGATCCTTCACCTGAAAAAAGGAAATACAAAGAACATTAATAATGACAAGTGGTATTGTTAACGGAGAGAATAGGGTACTGCTCTCCTCAGGGAGGCAGGTTAAAAATTTATGAAAAATTATACAATTTGAGTGATTGATTGGTGATTCTGGGTATGCCAACAGTCATACTCTGAAAAGAGTAGTGCATTTTTTTTTTGCGGAATCGAGCACTGATCTACACCTCAGCTAGCAGGGTTTTCCCCAAACAGGTATCTCCCTCCAGCGTAGCACCTCCCCAACCACAACAAGCTCCTGTCTGGTCTCCTGATCAGCGTGCAGGTGCAGTGCATGTGAGTGTGTATATAAGAGGGGAGAAAAGGAAAAGCAAGGAAAGCTTGCACAAGACCCATTTGTTAGAGTACTGCTCCAGCATTCATCTAGTGTTGATCAGAGAAACCACAGAAAACTACCAATCAGAGGAGCCGGCAGCTAGAATTCTCTTTCAGACAGAAGCTGAATTCGACCTAGCTAACTGGCTAGTCGCAAAAACGTGCCATCATCACGATTTGAACTGTAGGACCTTTTGGTCAAATGCACTGCAGTGACATCAGTTTATTCCCTGAATCACCACTGCTGGTGTACATTCAAGTTGAATGCTTGGTTATTAAAAGTATGTGTTTCTTAAATACAGCACTGAAAATCGGTGCTATTTAGTTTGTTTTTCTAGGAAACACAAAAATTGTTTCTCTAAAAAATTAAAATTGAGCTCATTACAGATTTAAATGTATCTAATTAACTTATGAGGACTGTACACCTTGGCTCCTGTCATCGTTTTGGGGGAGGATTTTCTCTCTCTTGTGAATAAAATCTTACTTTACACTACTTAATAATAAATTATATTTTTAATGATAAATTATGAATAAATTTCATCTGTAATTTTTTACATTTATTTAAAGTTATTACAGTAAAGGATGCAAATTCCAGAAGGCAAATAAATTTCTATTTTAAATTTGATTACTGTAAAACTTCATGTCAATGGCCTTTTCTGTAATCACTTAATTATTATAAAAATTATTAATTTAACATACTTTTCACAAGCATGTTTTAATTTTTAATAGCAACATTTATCAACACTATCTAGTATGGCAAAGAGTGTGCATGATGTGCACTGTGTTGAAATATTAATTTATCCTGTCTCACATGGCAATTATAGCACCCTCTTTCCCACTGACTCTGTGAATATAATCATGTTCAGTCTTTGTATTTCACAATGTTATCTATTTTGCAGCATTTCACACAGACTTCACTGATGCTTGTGTTCAAGTTACAGAATGCAAGTGTCTTGCAGATTTTATGGTGAAATATATGAGCAGTTGTTTTCGAAACAATGAATCTGTTTGTAGTTTGTCTCTGACCTCCAAATTTAAGATAGCTTCAATTGTGTGGTCTTTCCAAATATTTTTTCAGAATTTAGCTCTTTTATTGTGTCTTCATTCTTGTAGGTTGATGGTAGTGGTGCAGGATTTTGGATGTCTCCTAGAAGGAAAGTCCCTCAGACTCACTTCTATTCAATTGTGGTGATCTTTGATACTTCTATGATTCTCTTCAAGAATGACACTGGATCTTTCCAAGATCCTCTTCTTGCCATGCCATGAGGAATTTCTCTCCTATAACCATCATATCTTTCAGTGCTGGTACTACTTCAAATTTAAACAGCTTCATAGCTATAAAGTGTCTTTAAAGTGAGAATCCTTATTTTATTACTACTTTTTGTTGTGGTAATTGTTTTTCTCTTAGATGTATTTTTAAAGGCAATATTGTAGGCTGTTTGGATACATCTAGCTAATTGACACTATTTTTTATATGTTTAAATTTTTTCTGATGCATTTCACTTCGCTGTTTTCTGATAACTTGCTACCTGTTCTAAACATCACTATCCCTGTTTTTCCTGATTAATCAGAATTTCTTTGTAACGGCCAAATTTGTAAGGTCTCTTATTGTTTGCAGTTTTAAAACATATGTTCAAGCAATGATCTGCTTATATTCACCTTTATTTTTCTTAACTGTTACCCACTCAACTATGCTGCTGCACTAAGACACCATCTAAGATGATAAACGCATAAGTGATTAGGTCAAAAGATTTGTCTCTGGATGGAAAACAATTGCTGATTACTTTCATTCATATCAGTTGAAAGATGGATATCAAAGATTTTTGCTCCATTTATTAAAGCGTTTAATGTTTTTCCAGCTTCTTTTTTGTTACAATTTAGAAATTCGGATAGCATCCTGTTTCAACAGTTTTGTCGACATTTACATAATGTCAGTTTGGAAAATCCTGAAAATCATAATTCTGCAACTGAATATTAAAATTTGTTCTTTGATCTTGTTGATAAACACTCCTGTCAATAAAAATAAGGCCATGCCCATCTCCAAAGAATGAGCATGCAGCGTGAGCATAACAAGAAAACAAAATGTCACTTTTATAAGGGCATGTTATAGACAACAATCATCATATCCATGTCAAAATTACTCTTTTCAGTTTCAAAACAAATGAGTAATGAACTTTAATTCCAGAGGAGAAAAAAGAAAAGTGTATATTTCTTTAACACTATTTCGTTCCTGTTCTGAAATTCTTCACCACAATTTATCACAAATATAACGTTTAAAAGAAAACCTTCTTTGTTTAAATTGAAAAATTTTCTACACTATTTCACACAAAATTTAAAGTAAATACTTATTAAATATTTTAAAATTAGTTTCTTCCTTCTTTCAGGGGCATTAAAAAACTATGTCACATTTGGCAAGGACGGAGAATATATTCACAAATCTGAATATAAGATTTGGGTAAAAGGAAAACTATGTCTTTCATTTGTTAATCAGTATGGACATTACCCTGTGTTGAAAAAAAGCACTGATGAGTGTCAATGTCAGACACACCACACACAATCTAGAAATTCAGACAGACCTGTGAAATATTAATTATTTTATCCCAAGGAAAATCTCAGAACTCCAATGAATGTCAGAAACCAACAAGAGTATCAAAAACAAAAGAAAACATTTCACAAAACTCAATTTTGTGGTTTTAAGTCTCGAGTTCAGTAACAGCAAGTACGATTCAATAAAGAACAATTGATGTTTGTCCATAATGCTGGAACATTACTTATCTCATCTTTATATTTTGAAACAATGAATTCTAGAATGACTCATATTTATTTTTCATATTTAATTCAATTTTTTTTAAGAAGAAGAAGAAAGGATTCACAAATGTTTGATTAATTATAGTTGAGTAGATAAAACTCTTAAAAAATTACATTTACTTACTTGAATTTCAAGAAATTATTAAAACTTGAAATATGTTGTTTGATACCTAATTTATAATTTTGATACATTTTTGAAGAAATGGAGCACTTTGGGATTATTTTTTCAAATAGTTTCTCTACGAATCAATGTAATATCACTTCAGAAAACTAAACAACAACAAAATGTAAAAACCCTGATATATATTTTTTAAAACTAGTTACAAATATTAGTTATACAGTAACCACCTGCTTTAACTTACCTTGGCTACAAATATTGATGCAATGGTACATTCCATACGTGGTATAAACAAATGTTGAACCTGGCTTTGAATAAAGTGCTTTTGTCTTAGGGGTAACTCTACCATTGTACGTCATTGAAGCTTTGTCCTCTCCCCCAGGGTAGCATTCAGTCTCCACTATTCTTCCTTTCAACTTTTGGCCATTCGGCAAACATCGAACAAGAACTTTTCCCAGCAAATTCTTGGCCAAGTCTTCGCAAGGTACATTATAAAATGCTTCACCTAACTTAGTGTCGGACAAGTTTCCTTCTCTCAAAGCAACTTTGACTTTTTTAAGAGCGTTATTGTCCGTGTTCTTGCGTTTCTGCCGGCCTTTTTTGACATCTGTTGGTTCTCCAGTGTCTTCCGTTTTTTCTTTCTGCTGTGTATCTGTATCCTTTTTTGCTTTTCTTGATGCCTTCATGATGGATTTTTTCTTCCTTACTGAATCTTCGAAATCCCAAAATGCTACAGCCCGCGCTTTACTTCAGAGCACATGCGATTTCGTCACATCACGTTGTTTTGTTGGTACACAAGAAATTGAAGAAATGACAAATGTTGGCAGCACTTGCGCGTGATGCTTTACTGCCAGAACAAAATGAATATTAATCGTATTTCTACAGATAAAATGCGAATTAAGTGATGTCATGTAGATAATAATATTACAACGGAATAGTGTCGTGTTGAATTGTTAATTATGTAGTAATTGATGGCTTAGTTTATTATTTCGATTATATTTAGACTCTACATTAGTTTTCCATTGGATAATGTGTCTGACGCCATTCAAAAGAGCCAACATTTAAATTTTGTTTGTCTATGAACAAAAATGTTTTGATTTTTATTAAGAAAATAAACTGGAAAAAATATTCATTATAGGTGAAATTTCTCTAGCAAATATTCTCAAGATTATAAAATATTTTTGTAATGAATTAATATAACTATTGTATTAAAAAGAAATAATTATTTAAGTTTTTCAAATATTTCAAATTTGTTTAATACCTATGCTGCATTCCGAGAATTGTAATGCCTTTAATAACATTGGGATTAACTACTAATCTTCCTTTATTCTTTGAAGATGCTGGCAATACAATAAGATAAGGTGATTCCATTTTAAGCGGTCCAGAATCAAATAAATTAGTCACCTCCATCTCAGAAAAAAATCTTACACTATGTATAAATTCCCTCATGTTTTGCTTGTCAAAAATATGTTGTTCCCCTTTCCACAAATTGCAGCCATTTTTGTTTTAATCGTGCCATTTTTTGCGTTTGTAGGCATTTACGGTTTTATATATTATTCAGTGCTAGGTTGATCACAGTCATATTTAGATTCATAATATGTTTTATTCGGGTAATATTTACGACCAAAAGTATCAAACGTGAAGGAACAAATGCATAAATGAACAATTTTATGAATGAATGAACATATTTCGAAAATATCTTAAGTTCTTTCTCAGTACGTGACAACTAAAAAACACCAACAAATTCAATAAATGTGCTAAGGAATGAGAACGCACACAAAAACAATATATCATTTCACTCACAAGTTCATACTATGCCCTAATGGCGAGACGCGTGACCGCAGACAGCTGGCCCCGCGTTAGCACAATGACGTAGCTCCACCTCGAAAAGAGCTTCTCAACAATAAAGACATGTATAATATCCTATCCTCCGCATGGAGGGGGGGGGGGGTACTTGTTTGCGCTCGCTGCCCGTGTGTACGAACCTTCCGATCCTCCGTTGGTTCACATCGGCTCAATCTGGCCCAGCCGACCTCCCATCACTCCTAGTCGGTTTAGTTTGGCCCAAATTGGCCCTGTCGACCTCCCGTCAGCAAGGTCGCATGACCGGACGCCTTGCCAGTGATCTACATACTTCCGGTATTAATGACCATAGCAGTTGATGCGCCGGGAAATTCGAAATAATCAATCCATCATCCTACTAAATAAATCAAAATTCGTGAAAATGGCAAAAAATTAACAATTTGTTTTACTTTTTACATTACGTTTTACTATAATGCAGCAAAATTCTGTGTCAAACTTTCAACGAAAATACCATCACGAGAGCACATGATACACAAAAAAGTATTTTTTTCAAAACGTCTTTGTGTCTGTCCGCGTCGGTCGATCTAGTGGGCCTGTCTGCGCATCTAGCGGCCTTCCCGTCTGCCTACGCTGACTGTCTGCGTGACGACCGCGCGCCTGTATGTCGACGCGCCTGTCTGCCTGCGCACCTGATTGGCTGAGCGCCTGTCTGCGCACCTGCCTGTCTACCCGACTGTCTGCGCGACTGCCGGTATGGCGTCTGTCTACGCGATTGTCTATCTTTTTTTCTTGCGTGGCATTGTTTTCCGTGGTTTCTCCAATCAACACCAGGTGAATCCCGGAGCAGCACTAAAAAACGGGCCACGGGTCGTCTTTCCTTCCTGTTCCTGGCCCTATTACCTCTTACTTACACACACATCGACGCACGCACTACTCTACCACACATGCCAGGCTGGGAGGTGCCCAGCTGTTGGGAAATACCTAACTGGACGTGTAGGTCGGCGCTGGACCTCTCCATCCAGTGGAGAAGAACACTCCCACCTCCCCTGATTATTACATGCACCACTTCCCGAGTCTAATGACCATAGCAGTTCACGTGATCGGAAACTGGAAATAATCAACAATTTGTACAGACACACGAAGAAATCAATGAAGCAATCCACTTTCATTTTAATTAGCACACTTGTTTTAGTCAATTCAGTTCCGGTTTTGCTGCTCTTCAACTACGCCGCCGCCTGGGATACCTATGCCCCTTTGACCCCCCCCCCGCCCCCATAGGTTCGACATTGATTCTCGACTTTTTGGCTGCCCGGGTGACGCCGTGTCGTTGGCTAAGAGGCCGACGTTTCGCCTGTCATGTCGCAGGCTTCCTCAGGGCAGTGCCTTGACCCGGGCAGCCGAGATGTCATGAACTCGAGTAGCGGAAGCTTACGTGTACGCCAGTGATTCATATTAAAATATTTCAAATTGTATTCAACTAACCTTTCAGCTCATTCGTGGAAGACACTTCAGCAAAAGAAGAGAGGGAAGTTCGAATTTGCTATTTCAAACATTCGCAGTCGCGTAATTCGTATTTGCAATTTCGGATTACGCAACACTACTTATTAAAAAAAAGTGCATTATTAAAATACTATCTAATTTTGAAGAAGAGAATTCATTAAGTAAAAAATATCTGTCTATATTGATATTTCACAATAGTAATTTTTAAAAATTTTCGAAAATATAGAGTAAACCGAAATTATTATTATTTAAATATGATAATTATATCTAGCATTTTTTCCTCCTGAAACTTTCAATCTATTTTCTGATTTCTTTTCTCAGACTGAAGTCAAATTTCAAGACTCCATAAAAAAAAGGTTGCAATTGCAACTTAGAGTTGTTGTTTTTTATGTATTTTTACTAGAAATACATAATATCATTAAGAAACGTTTTTCCTTTTAATGTCTATATTCATTTAAAAGTGAATATAAAATTCTTTGAAATTACAAATCTTAGTTTTTCTGCTCTTTTTGACCAATTTAATGCTACAAATATTTTTCTGTTAGAATTCAGATAAAAATTGACAAATACATTCAGAAACAACCATGTTATAAAAACAAGTAATTCCAGAGCTGATGAGCTCCAGTGAATGAAATTCAGTAACTCATCCCCAAATAATAAATTTAAAAAAAATGTAAATAAGCTTAATCAAATAAACTTCTAATATTACTGTCTATAATAATATTAAAATTCATTAAATATTAATAAAAATATTTGTAAAACATGGAAACAGATGATCAAACTACTTTTTCTCAATGCACAAGAATCTACTCCCCTTTACAACACAACAGTTCTGACTGTTTTTTAACAATAAATAAATTAATAAAAAGAAATAAAATCGTGATATCTCATTATAAACTTTCCTCACAAAATTTTATTTAATAATTAATTCAAGATAGAAAGTTTTTAGAATTCTAAATTTCACTAATCATTTTTCGGAATCCCATTTTTGGGTTTTAGTTTGATTTATTTAGTCGAAGAACAGTAAAAACTCTATGAGATGTATAGGGCAGAAGTACCATCTCTGCACATTTTCACGAGCTCCAGATCTCTTCCCAACATTTTAACAACAATTAATTGAATGATGAACAAAAGTTTCATAAAAAGTGAAGTAAGCAACTTTTCAAAACAACACATTTTTGCTCCCGAGTTATAGAAAACTTATTTACATCAATAAACAAACAACAGATTTTAAGTTTTTTCTATTGCTAACAAAATAGTAACACACCAGTGGCTCTACTCCTACCACTACTAGCTAAAGATGAGCTCCACAAAACTGGTACAGTGTGAAGCTACAATTATGTCAACAAGCAAAACAAGGGGCCATTTCATCATTTGTTCAGTGGATCAGGGAAACTACATAAAAAACTGACCAAGATGGGGATGTTCTACCTTTCAGAACTCTGAGCAATTGGCTTCAGCAATTGTTCACAGAATATGATCACCTCCCCCTGGAAAACATACGTAACTATGTACCCTGTAGTTAACAACTTGAACCCAAACAAATTTATCTGTTGAATTACTCAAAACCAGTGTTTTATTTAGCCAACACCTTGAGGTTTCTGCATTTTATACAAATGTGAATGCATGAATGCACAGAAATGATGAAACTAGAAGAAATTGAACATTCATTCAACATCATTTTTATGTAAGACTATATACATTATACAGTTTTGCTTGGTCTACATTTGAAATCTAGTAATAATAGAGGTGACTGAATACGTGTAACACTGAAAAGAGACATCAATTTTTTAGCCATGGCATGCATAGTAATGATAACCATGGAGTTTATGATATGAAACATTTTTATCTGGAAGGGGATAGTTTGTAGGTGATATGAGTTGTTACAAGATGGGTGGAGAAGTTGCTTAGACAAAACTAAATTTTGATAATTTAAATTATTGGGATGGTTCCAAAGTATGAAATTGTATCCCATAGGTGAATGACTGAACTTTATTCTTGGATTTCTAGGTTTTAAATATTGTCTGTTAATTTCATGTTATTCATTGTACAATAGTTACCATACAAATTAAAACATATTATATTTCCATACCTATTTTACATCAATACTATGAAAATAATATCTGCATACATCTACATTAATCACAAATATTTCCTTTCATCTATTTTATTATTGTAATAAACTTTTATACAAATGTAGTTTAACCTATTTTGTGTGTTCTTGTTGAAGTATATTAAGACTTAATCAACTAATGCACCTCTGTTGAAAACTGCTGAATATGATCAATCCTCAATACTGATCAAAATGTGCTAAATAGTGTTCAAGTATAAATCAAATATGCTTAATACACTGAAATGCAGCAATGAAGAATTTTCTGACTAGAAAAACATGTCTATCTCAGTGGTTGAAGTAGTTTATGTGTGTTATCCTCATGATGAGGATCCACATTTGGTTTTCAGTTTCTCTATGCAAACAAGAACTTCTTTTCACTCT